GAGGAGAAGAGTAGTGGACTTATTTCTAGATTTATCTGACTTATTTAACTTAATTTTTATTTTTTTTATCGTGCAGGCTCTGAGGGAAAATTAGTTTGAAGCTGAGGTTTTTTAATTTTATAAAAATCGTTCGATTACTCTAAAGCAAAATGAGGGAAAATCTGTGTAAATTACAGACATTCTGTTCACGTGAGCAGCTGTCAGTCAGCACCCGTCCTTCAGACACACGATGGAGCGTGTCTGAACCAATCACTTTTGTTGACATTGATCAGCTGATTGATTTAAATACATCTTAACATTCATGAGGTACTTTACATTGACTGTTTATGGTTGAGTGTGGGCGTGTAGAGGGTAGAACCTGAGGAAGGACCTCGTGCGCAAACTCTGACGTGTGGCTGTGATTTATGTAGGAAAGATGCGCAGAAACATGCGTACGCACGGTTTTATAAATCTGAATTTTTTGGCGTACACCATTTCTGCCTTTTGGCTGTTCGTTCATTATGGTTTCCATGCAATCCTTTATAAACGAGACCCCTGAAACTAACCGGCCTCATGAACAAAGACTTGCGTGGATTTCTTACTGAAACCTGACGTACGGTCAAATCCAGAAAATGGCGTACGCACAAAAAATCCAGATGTATCAAACTGTGCGTACGCCTGAATCCACACGCATTTCTTTTGTACATCACAATTAACGTGGAACTGAGCGCAGGTAAGACACCTCCCCTGACACGCCTTCATTAACATATGTTAAACAGATGCAAATTACTTCCTGCATGTGTGAAGGACACGTTTGAGTGATCCCTGTGTGATCAGAAATGATTTCTAGTTATAAAAATGATGAATTTAATTTGTGAGTGTGAAAAAAATCCTAAGTAAAAGCAGGAATAAAATATGTTTATCACGCAAAGAACGAGTGACTGTATGTCGGTGCGCAAACTGCTGTGTTGCGCAACCAGCTCATCACTTTGCGCACAAGTTTATTACCATAATTATTGTAAACACAGAGGAACTTAAATGTTTGGTAGAACATAGATCTTAGTTTATTTCATAGCTGATYTMAAGAAACGAGTCTCTGCGCCTCAGTAGAGTCCAGAGCTCCAGAGCGCAACCATAACTCAGCCTTTAGAATCATATGGATGATACGATTCCATTGGTCATGACTCTGCTTTGAGTGGACTGAGTCCTGATGGGTCTGCCAGCTCCCTTTGGAAAGCTCCTGTGGAACCCCAGTTCAATCGCTGCTGCTGCACGTGCACGTGGCTACTCGCTGCGTCGCGCTCCCAGAGCACAGCAGTGCCAAACTAAAAAATGATTTTTCCTCAAAACGGCTGATGAGCCACTCGTCATCAGAAAATTCTATCTGTTTATAAATAAAAGCTCTGCCTGTTACACTATTTATTATATCCTCCAATAAGGCTGAATCAGTTCCTGTTAAATGTATTTTTGGCACAACTTTGCATGTCCTTTATTTTACTGCGTCCATGTGGATGAAAAATTGTTAATCATGTGGATGTAATAACTGTTAATCATGTGGATGTAATAATTGTTAATCGTGTGGATGTAATGATTGTTAAAATGTGGATGTAATAATTGTTAACCATGTGGATGTAATAATTGTTAATCATGTGGATGTAATGATTTTTAATCATGTGGATGTAATAATTGTTAATCATGTGGATGTAATAATTGTTAATCACGTGGATGTCATAATTGTTAATCATGTGGATGTAATAATTGTAATCATGTGTGTCT